AGTGAAGTAGATAGTAAAATATGGCAGAATTAAAATTGATGTTTTACAGAGGAGTGTGGGAAGGACAAAAAAAACTTTTGTGTTGTCTTTGAGAGGCTAGGATTTAGATTTGCATAAATTGGCTCCCACAGGGACACATGGTGTGGCATCTTTTCACATCCCAATGGGTTGTATGAGGAAGTCATAGAGATGGTGTTAGGTTATAACATAGTATCAGGAAGAAGACTGGAGAAATTACATGGGTCCCTACCTTGTGGCTCTGCTTAATCAAGACAATGCAGATGTCCAGATTACTCTAATATCCAAATTACTTTTTTTTTCCAGAAGCAGCAAAGAGTGAAAAAGTTCTTCACATAGTAGTAAAAGGAAATTGAAAAGTTCAGCTTTTAGAACTCCAAAATTACTTGAATCAATTTGCTGTTCTGTATGTTAGTTTTAGATTTTTAAAAAAGGACTTAAATACCAACTAAATATTCTTTTTGCAAAACCTTCAGTCTATATTTACATAGCAGTATCAATTACATTTTTATAATAACAGTTCTAATTCTACCAAACTGTTTGAACCTGTCAATTTGTTCCAATGAAAATTTTAAGGGAGTCTTGGATGCCAAAAGTGTTTTTTAGTCTTACGATCTGCAGCTAACTCTATTTCAAGTAAAAGATTTTTGCAAAAATTGTCACAGTTAAAGGTCCAGTGAGAACAAAATGTTTTTATGTTCTACCATTAGCCAACCTACATACCTACAAGAGTGATACATTACAATGATAAATATGCAACAAAACACCCAAGTGTTTTAATTCACTGTCTCTAAAAGGAAATCAATTTAATAGCAGTACAACCATAGCAAGAAGTAGCAACTAGGTATGTACAGACAGATTCCTGTAAAGGGTTAACTTGTGTCCCACCCAAACAAATTCATGTTAAAGTACAACCTCTGTGGAAAACAGTTTGGCGGTTCCTAAAAGATCTAAAAATCGACCTTCCATATGACCCCGCAATTCCCCTACTGGGAATATACCCAGAGGAACTCAAATCACTCTATGAAAAAGATACCTGCACATGCATGTTTATTGTAGCATTGTTAACAATAGCAAAAACATGGAACCAACTGTGCTGCCCACCAAAAGAAGGCGGGGATAAAAAAATGTGGTACATATACACAGTGGAATATTATGCAGCCATAAAGAAGGACAAAACTATGAGCTTCGCAGCAACTTGGATGGACTTAGAGTCTATAATACTGAATGATCTATCACAGAAACAAAGAACTGAGTATCCTATGTTCTCACTCATAAGCAGACCTTGAACAATTATCGTAATACTATAAGAAAAGGATTGGCAGTAGCAGGAAACTGCTGGGGGGCGGGGGTGGCGAGGGGAGGTGGGATTGGCAGTAGTGGGAATAAGCTAGGGGAGGGGGTCACACCTAATCAACAAGGGTACCTGCATAATGAACATTTGTATACCTAACCATGACTTGTACCCCACATCTTTTAAATAAATAGATATAAATAAATAAAATAAAGTCTCAACTCCAGTACATAAAAAGGTAGCTTTATTTAAAAATAGGACCCTTTAAAAAGTAATCAAGGTTAAATGAAGTTATAAGGTTAGGCCCTAATCCATGTAACCCTATTTGGAGAGAAAGCATTCGGAGATGATCAAGTTAAAGGGCCCTAGGGTGGAATACTAATATGACTTGTGCCCTTATGAGAGAAACATCTGAGATACAGAGAAAAAAGATAGAAAAGGCCCTGTAAGGATACAGTGAGAACACAGCCATTAGCTAAGAAGAAACCAGACCTGCTGATACCTTGATCTTGGACTTCAAGCCTCCAAAACTGTGAGAAACCAATTTCTGTTGTTTAAGCCACCTAGTCTGTGGAATTTTGTTATAAAAGCTCTAACATGCTAACACAATTCTCATCTTCCCAAAGTTATCTCTTTCATGATGGTGTTTTTTGCCGCTTTTGTATGAATTAGGTCATTTTATCTTCATGTAGAAACCACAATACAATCAAACCACTCTTTATGGTGTAGATAACTTTTCCAAGTGCCCAACACAGAGCAGGCATCATGAATACTAAATGCATGTAGTAGCTTAGCCACTGGAGTGTTCTATAAGAACCCAGTCCTTAATTTTATATGCTTTGATTTTTGTAGTATGCTAAAAATTCAGGAGTATCAAGTTGAAACTCAGCAGAAGAGAATAAATTAAGCCGAAAAACTGGTTTTACTGAATTAAACTCATGTTGCTTGCACAGCCTGAGAATACACTCCCAAAGATCTCAATCATATTTCACTGTTTTATTACGTTACAAAGTTTCCCAGTATGAACATTTGACTGAATCATTATTCTAATGCCCATATTGATCAAAATCATCAATTGAATACTGCATCCTCCCAGCTAAATTAAGTGAAATGCAAGTGTATAAAATAGAAAAGTGACTGAGTCCAGTCTTAGAGAATTTGTTTTCATTTATCTACTTCATCAGGTTTTGGTTTAAGACCATCAAAAAATTGTAGGTACTTTGTATTTCCAAAGTCTGATCTTGTACATCGACAAATGATTGATCCTTGTTTTCATATGAAAAATCCCTGGTCAAGACATAAGCTCTGGTCATCTTTTCATAGTTGCAATTAAGTCTCCAAAATGCAGTTTTTTTGTGGCATTATATAGCCTGAATTGCAAACATTTGCTTGCATAGTGCTGGACACAATCAAAAGCTACTATTCTCTGGATTGGCAGCCACCCTTTGTGACAATTCTGCCTGTTATAGGGCTGGTATATTCTTGGGAATGTAAATTGGTGACGATTATATGGAAATTGCCAAATGCTGTAGTTTTCACTGTTTTCAGGAAGATACACAAGAAGTCCCCAGCCGGGCATATAAAAAAGAGTAAAGAAATCAGTAATGTTGCATGCCTAACTTTTGTCGGGTACCTTCTATTGATACTTTTCTGTGCCATCACATTTATCCCTCCCAAGAATCTTCTGAAGTAGGTAGTCGTACCCAATTTAGTCGTGCCCCTAACTGAGGCTTCAATTAGGCTGAAATATTTGTCAGATGCGTATCTAATGCTATCTCAAGAGCAATCCCTCCAAAGCCACTTAGAACAATTGAGTCACCTTTCTCTTGTAAACACTTGGAAACTCACTGGGTTTGTGCTGTTCCTTGTGACATTTGAGGTCATGAGAAGCACTGAGATATGGGAGTTTGAACAGCGAACGTCCATACCCAAGAAGAAATTCTTATATAATGAAGCATTTGGCCAGAAAAACAGTGTCAGATGGACCATGAGTCAGCACAGTTGTTTTCTTTTTTTCTTCCGTCACACAATCTGATTTCACTCAATTGGGTTTCTCTGGTAAAACTGTTTGCGCCCTGACTGACATTATTATACAATTTCCCAATAAAAACAGATACATTTTGAATTATGTAAGACTTTCTCTTCTGAAGAAGTTATCTAGATTTTAAAAATTTGACTTTAATTCATAGGGGAAATGCCTATGCTAGGGATTAGGGCTTATAAAAACAACAATATTTACTTAGAACCCCTTTGCTAGGCACTATGCTAAGTGATTTCACACATGCTAGGGTAGAGAGGCAAAATAGGTTAAGTTGTTGATTTGAGAAACAAATCTTGTATAAGAATGGATCATTAATATGTAAATTCACTGTATTATTGCTTTTCTGGCACATTCCTTTCCTACTTCTCTCTTTCACAGCTGAAAAGAGAATCATTCAAGACTAAGTTGCTTGTCATTCCTTTTTGACTAGAAAAAAAGCAAAGAAAGAAATAAAAGAAGGCATTTGCTGGTGCTAAGAAAGCCTCCTTTAGGAAAGCTGAAAGAGACTGTAATTAGTTCTAAAATACCATCTTAAATTCACTGTGCATATATTTTTCACACACATAAAATTGAGCATTGGAGACCAGAGGGCCTGAAATGTAAAATGATGCATCTAAAATCCATTTAGAAATAGTTGTAATGCAATTCCCAGTTGCTGGATTGATTTGATCTTCTCGTCTTGGGAAGAAATTGAACCCTGCAATATCACCAACATATTTGAACTTCTCTGTTATTATTGTTATAAACTGGCAGTGATTGATTTTGAATAATTATCCTGAGAAATAAATTAGATTAAAAAATAATCTTCCAGATTATAGAGGAGTCTAGTTCATGTTTATAATTAGTATCATTTTAGAAAGCATGAGGATAAAATCACATTTGAATAACAGGATGGATTTCTTATATGCTAACTACTTGACTTTGCTTTGATAGAATTATATAAGTTAAAGGCTATATTTTTAGTCACATCTCAATTGTGGGTTAAATTCTTCTAGAAGAAAGTAGCATGTAATCATCTAGGACATCAAAAGCAGGGAGCTTGAAGTACATTCTCAACTTGGCCATGAGTTACCTTTGTGAGTCCAAATGACTACTCTGGACCTGATTTCCTGAATCTGTAAAACAAAGGAGTTCAGTGAGCAAACGCTCTCCAAGGCCTTTTCCTCTCCCAACATTCTGTTTTTAATGTGTGATATAATTCCATCTTACTTAAATGAATGGTCCACTTTACATGTAGGGCTCTAAAGTAACACTTGGAGAGCGATTAAAGGAAAGTATAAAGAAAGACTAGCTCATAGCGGAAATCATAGCTCCTTTAGGTTACCTTGCCTATAGGAGAATGTTCTTAAGAGTAGTGATTCTTAAATTTGCAATCAAATTGACTGGAGATCTTATTATAATGTGGACTCTGATGTAGTAGGGTTTGGGGAGAGGCCTTAGACTCTGCATTGCTGGCACACTCCTGGGTGGTGGCCTTGGTGCTAGTCCCGGAGGGTTTTTTGAGTAGCAAGGCTCTGGCTGAACAAACTAAAAAGAATATAGAAGAATCTGGGGAAGTGTTAAGCATTCAGATTCTAGGCTTATCTCCAGAGATTCAAAGATTAGGGTAAGTCTGCAGATTCTGAATTCTTAAGAAGCATCCTGCTCTTCCATAGGAGGCCTACACACCACTGTTTGTGCCACCGCCATGTCTCTGGTGATCCCTGAGAAGTTCCAGCACATCTTGCGGGTACTCAACATCAACATCAATGGGCAGCTGAAAATAGCCTTTGCCAGATATGCTCATGTGGTGTTGAGGAAAGCAGACATTGATCTCACCAAGAGGGCAGGAGAACTCACCAAGAATGAGGTGGACGTGTGATCACCATTATGCAGAATCCTCTCCAGTACAAGATCCCAGACTGGTTCTTAAACAGACAGAAAGATGTAAAGGATGGAAAATACAGCCAGGTCTTGGCCAATGCTCTAGACAGCAAACTCCGTGAAGATCTGGAGCGACTGAAGAAGATTCGGGCCCATAGAGGGCTGAGCCACTTCTGGGGCCTTCATGTTTGAGGCCAGCACACAAAGACCACTGGGTGTCGAGGTTGTATCATGGGTGTATTTAGAAGAAATAAAGTCTGTAGGCCTTGTCTGTTAATAATATACCTAAAAAAAAGCATCCTCAGGCCTTTCCCCAAACCTACTAAATCAGAGTCCACATTTGAACAAGATCTCCAGTCAACCTGAATGCAAAAAAAAGCATTCTTAAGAAGCATCCTGAAGCACCCCTTGATGTCAGAGGTCAAGGACCAAAGGTCAGGGACAGAATTTAATACGTTTAAGAATTACTGTCATAGAGCCACGGGCAGGATCTATCTACTAGCCCTTCTCTACTCTTTTCAGTTTCTCTTTTCAAATACAGCCACTGATTAATTTATGAATGCATTTAAAAAAAAAAAAACTGAAAAACTAGTTTGATGGTTGGCTTGAATTAGTTTGTTCATTTCACAAAATATCTGTTATCTAGTAAGAACAGAAACTGAGTATGTGTAAGGCTCTTGTTTGTCTGATTTTTAAACCTGAAGTCCAGGGATATTTCTACCCCTTTGTCAAATAGTCATGAAGTTATCATGAAGGAAGTATGCTGAAGTGGAAAGAAAACTATGCTAAGTTCAATCACATGTCCTGATTCTAGCACTACTAATTATTCATTCATTCAATAATTGATTCTGTACTTTCATCATACCTAGAGCTGTGGAAGATTTGGGGCATTACTAGTTAAATTAGATATGCTCAATATCGTGATGGCCTAGTAGGAATGACCAAAAACTAATATAATGTTTAGAATAATTATAATTCACAGAAAACTCTAAAGTAGTCATTGAAGTTCTTGTACCCTAAGTAAAATAAGTAAGAGTTGATCTGCCCATTTCACTTGTGAGCATTATGTGAGAAAACATGAGATTATTTGTAAACGTGAAATGGTATACCTATGAGCATGTTCAAGTGGTACTGTTGGATAACAACCAAGGCAAGATTAAATAAACCATCATTTTCATTTTGGGGACAGGGACAAAAGGGCATCAAATTTTATGTAAATAATTTAAATTAGAGATAAAGGTTGGCAAATTACAGTCTTAAATAACTTCTATTGTGTGATATAGTAATTTCTCTTCAGTGCATGTAGGCCAAAGTCTCTCTTGCTCTTTCCAATTTATCTATAGTACTTCATGTAATCAAGATGTATGTTTCTTTAAACATGTACTAGAAATAGGACTAGCCTCTGATGTTAAAGTAGGAAGCAAAGCAAAATTTCCTGAATTATATTCCAATATTTGAATGAGATATAGCCTAAGGAGGCGGCAAAAAAATTAAAAAATATATAAATATATTCAACGTGCCAGCAGGTGACGACAAATATTTCTATGGAGAAAAAGCAGGAAAAGAGGAGGAAGATATTAAGAAGAAGTCTGTTATAATTTCTGAGGAAAGGCCTCACTGAAAATGTGCTGTTTGATTAAAGGCCCAAGGAAGTTAGAGTCTCATGGGTTCTTCTGAGTTTTCCACACAGAAAGAACAGATGCCCTTTTGTGCATGTGGCAAGTTCAAGGAACAGCAAAAAGTTTAATGTGGCTGGATCACAGGGATAAACATGGGGAAACTATTTTGGGGGAATTCTACTGAGAGTAAAATGGGGAGCATGGAAAATTTTGAGTCATCACGTGTTAGGATTTTTATTTCAAAAGAAGGATCACTGTGACTCTTGTGTTGAAAGTATACACTAGGGAAAAAAGATGAGCAAGGGAGATTAACTAGAGCAGGTGTTGGTGAGCTACAGTGCAAAGATCAAACCTGGACAACTGCCTGTTCTGGTAAATGAAGCTTTATTGGAACATGGACACACTCAGTCAATTTCATAGTGTCAATGGCTGTCTTCACATTGTGGCAGAATTAAGTCATTGCACAAGGACTCTATGGCCTGCTACACTTTTAAAAACCGTATTATCCGACACTTCATGCACAGGAAGAAAAAAATTGCACACCCCTGAATCAGAAGGTTATTGCAATAATCCAACTGAGAGAAAACGGTGGCTTGTATTAGGATAGAAGTAATGCAGGTGCTAAGGAGTGTTCAGATGCTGCATTTATTCTGAAAATAGAGAAAAACAAATGTGCTGACAGAGGAAAGGTGTAGAAGGAAGAAAGTAAGCATGAATAACTCTTAAAAATCTTTTCACCCAAGAATTGGGAATGACAGAGTTTTCATTCTCTTATTTGAGAAAGGTTGTGGGAAGGGCATGTCTGGAGGTTTGAAGAAACATATCATAAGCTTAGTCTTGAGACACCTAACAATTTCAACAGATTGATCTAGTAGGCAGTTGTACATCTGTCTAGTGTTCAGCAGAGAAATCTGGGCTGGTGACAGAAATTTGGGAGCTTTGGGCATATTGGCAATACTTACAATCATGGATGAGATCACAGGGGAGTGATCCTAAAGAAGGAAGAGGTTCAGAGCTTAGAACTAAGGCTTGTGCCAGGTGTGGTGGCTCAAGTCTGTAATCCCAGCTTGTTGGAAGTCCGAGGTGAGAGGATTGCCTGAGTTCAGGGGTATGAGACCAGCCTGAGCAACTTGGTGAGACCTTGTTTCTATCATAAATCAAAAAAATTAGCCAGGAGTGGTAGAGCTTGTCTGTAGTTCCAGCTACTTGGAAGGTTGAGGCAGAAGGATCACCTCAGCCCAGCAGGTCAAGGCTGCAGTGGCCGCGAGCATGCCATTGCATGCACTTCAGCATGGGTGACAGAGTGAGACTCCAACTCAAAGAAAGAAAGAAAGAAAGAAACAACAGCAACAACAACACCAACAACAAAAACTGAGGCTTGCACTTTCCAGTATCCAGAGGTCATGAAGATGTGGTAAAACCAACAAAATGCAATGAGAAAGCATAGCTAGTAAAATAAGAAGACACAGGAGCACCTAAAATCCTTGATGCTTCAAAAATAAGGTCATCATCAGCCAAGGTAAACATGGCTGTTCTTTCAGGTAAGATTAGAATGGAGAATATCTCACTGGCTTTGAGCAAAGTGGAGATCATCGATTGCCTTGAAGGACTTTGGTGGCATGGGGGGTGAAATTCTGACTGGAATTGATTCAAGAGAGAATAAGAAGAAAGGAACTGAAGACAGCTCATAAAGAGAAGTGTCTAAAAGTTTTTCTCTAAAGAAGGGAAAAGGAGAGGGATGTGGTATTGAGCTTATTATTAATTTTTTCAGATGGGACAAATAGTAGAATGAATGCATGCTATTGAGATAATTCAATCAAAAGAGGAAAATCATAATATCTGAAAGAAAAAAAATTGAGAGTGATGTGCTTGAGAAGGTGCAGGAGTGGAAGGGATGTCCTTCCATGAGAGTGCATATTTGTTCAAGTAAAGTAACAGAAGGGAAGGCAGAGGATACAAGCAACACACAAACAAGTGTGTGAATAAGTATGTAGCAGCTGAGGAAGTCTTTTCTGGTTATGTCTTATTTAAGTTTTCTTTCTTTTGTTTTTGGCATAGGAAACAAGGTCAACAAGCTGAGGGGAAAGAGGCCTTGGAGGTATGAGAGGAGAGGTGAGTAGTAGATGATAAGCAACATCCTTTAAAAGAAGAGACAAGTGAATAGACTAGGGGAATATAGTAGAATTTCTGCATAATGTCTTGGGCTAAGATTCACAGTAAAATCCAAATTACAACAATAAATTAAAAAAAAGCATTCTAAAAAAAGGAAAGTGTAACTCTTTTTTTCTCTTTTAATTTTTTTTAATTTTAAAGATGTGGGGTACAATTCAGGGTTAGGTATACAAATGTTCATTATGCAGGTATCCTTGTTAATGAGCTATGCCCTCACTCCCCCGGCAGATTCCCACTACTGCCAGTCCTGCCTTTTCCCCTGGCCCCTGGCAGTTTCCTGCTGCTGCCAATCCTTTTCTTATAGTATTGCAATAATTGTTTAAGGTCTGTTTATGAGATACTCAGTTCTTTGTTTCTGTGATACATCACTTAGTATTATAGACTCTAAGTCCATCCAGGTTGCTCTGAAGTTCATGATTTTGTCCTTCTTTATAGCTGTGTAATATTCCACCATCTACATGTACCACATTTTTTTTTCCAGCCCTCTTTTGATGGGCAGCACGGTTGGTTTCATGTTCTTGCTACTGTGAACAATGCTGTGGTAAACATGTGTGAAAACTGAAACTCTTCATGTTTTATGTTATTATTATACAATTACAATTTGATGAGTAACATAGACATTAAGATTCCAAAGTCATATTGCTGGGAACTGACAGCCTGGATTACAACCCAGGTCTGACTGATTTCAGACTGATTATCACGATGTTTAAATTTGCATTTTATATTAAGTATCTGCATCGTACAGTTAAATGAAATTTAAACTTTTATGTTTAAAACCTACAGAAACTTCTTAATAAAAGTGATTTCAAATATAAGCATCCTATATCTTCTAACGAACAATTGTTTCATCTGCAATATATAACTTTTCATGAACACAAGTTTAATTTCTTCCCAGTGTTTCTGTCAATCACCCGGAACTACTGAGTTTTTGTGAAAGCTGATTCTATCATTTAGACATACTTTTGTAAAAACATTACCCAACTCTCTGTCATTTTTAATTTCTTTAAGTGTTCCATGATATCTTCATGTAAATCACCCAAACTGCTGACATGTTTATTTATTCCTTGAAAATAATAAATAAAAATTATATACATTACAGGGGCTTCCTTGAAAATAAAAGTAATTTTATGTAACTAAATACACTGAATTTCAGGCATAGGTGAATCAAGAAAGACAACCCAAATTTAGTGTAGGCCACTATTCTGTGATAATTTCTTTAGCAAAAACAATTTAAGTTTCATGCTTTAGTCCTCAAAGACATGGGTTTTCTCCACACAGATGATTTACCTCAGGTCTCTAATAGCTGCCACTTAGATGATCTTAACTCATCTCATGATCATAAATAATTTTTACCTATGCACTAATGACCCCCAAATTAATATTTTCTGTCCAGATTTCTTCTGAGTTTCAGTCACACATATTTAACCATCTTCTTGATGTCTCCCCTAGGGTAATTCAAGCATAATAT